AATAGCTAATGAAATGAAACTGGCTGCTTATGTGAGAAACACACTTGTTTACAGCATCTTCAGGACAAACCCAGTGGGACGGAGTTGCTCAATTTCCTGGATAAATGTGGGTAAATGATGATGTGTGGCCTCGCATCTCTTCACATGTTTCCTCCGATGTTGAAAAATCACTTCCATATTACGTATATGTCAGGTTTTCTACTTAAAGTTTATAGTTCTTTCATCAGAGATAACTATAAACTTCATGCTTTTTCTCCTAACTTCTCATCACTGTATCAAAAATACACTCCAGTCATTAATTTAAAATTCAAAAATGTTGTACTCTTTCACATTTTTTATTTTGTCATTTAAATGTAAATATAATTCTCACCAAATGTGCCAAAAGTATTCACACTCAAAATGCATTTGGTTATGAACTGGGTTCCAGAATATAGCCTCATGACTGCATATAATAAATATATTTGGATGATTTTAGGCCACATGATTCTTAGTTTCACTTTTAGTGTTTTGATCATGTTTATGACTTAGACTGAACACGAATGACGATCTTGTGACCATTAGGATGTTTCAAATTCCCCAGCAAACATCTCTAATCTTCTGCTTTCTTGTAGCCGCATAAAAGCAACATCGCCAAACATCCTCATCTTCTGCATCTCATTCAGATATTAGAAACATGTCAGCTTGTCTCCTGTGAAAGGGAAAAATGCTTTCTAAGACGATTCCAGATACGAAGTGTGAATATGTTTTTGAGAATAATAAAGAGAAAAATTCGAGCATCTTAGCTGAGATTGTACACTTGAAGTAACCTTTGAGACTTAGGCAAACAGGATATAACAACATCCCTTCAAAGGGTATAAAGAAGCCTTCAGCACACAACTCTGACATTTCATCCTCTGGATTATTCTCACATACGGCACCATACCAAAAAAGACGATACGATGACTGGTAGGTCCATTATCTTTATAATTTTATAATTTACTTAGAAGGAAATCGTTTGATATCTGATTATCAAAAGGTTTTTGATAATTAACAGTTAAAAAGTTAAAACTTTATATATGAGACAATGTATATTTTAGGTGCTGTGACTAATCACCATTTCTTTTCAACTTTTCCTACACAATATGTAATCACCCTTCGCTTTCATTGTTTCATTTTATATAGTCCTGAAGTATCAGAATGAATTTTAAAAGTACAAATATATTCATGATGCTCACTTAATTCAGTTCAGTTCAATTCAAGTTTATTTGTACAGCGCTTTTCACGATACAAATCGTTGCAAAGCAACTTTACAGCAAATTATGTTTCTACAATATTTAGTGGTAGCTTATCAGTGGTGACTGTCAGTTAATGTACATATGGCAGAAATGTACGGAAAAATCAAAACTTAATATGAGCTAATAAATACTGCATGCCTTAAAAGCTCAATTTAAAGTAGTCTAATTATAATTCTTTTAATATTAAAATAGTTTAAGATGTGTCACACTGCGGGAACACTTTTTAAATGCCAACTATGCCCATTTCGTAAATGCAACAAAAATCGTAGTTAAAATACCTAATTATACATTAATATTTATTTATTTGTTTGTTTGTCATGGTGCTTTTCTTGTACCTTTTTTTATTCTTTTCTTTTTTTACATTTTTTATAGTAATAAGAAATAAGAAACTTTTAATTTAATTCATTCTAAAAACAAACAAATAAAAAAGTAGCATGTCAGCATGAATTTTATATATTTATTTTTATTGTCATATGGGCAAGTGCTTTTCTTGTGCCTTTTTTCTTGTTTTTTCCCCCCATAAGTATAAAACAATGAAAAACTAACTTTTATGAATTGTATTCATTCAAGAGCAAACTGATAAAACGTAGCATGTCATGTAGCATGAATATTTATTTATTCATCTGTCTGTCTGTCTCTCATATGGGCAGTGCTTTTCTTGCGTTTTTTGAGTTTTCCTAGATATAAGTAATACAAAACTAACTTTTATTGTGAATTTAAAAAAAGACAAAGAGAAAAGCAAATGATTTGCAAGGGGATTTTTTTAGTGCTGTCAATATATGTATATGTATATTATGCAAACAAAAACTTTTATTTTGGATGCGATTAATCGCGATTAATCGTTTGACAGCACTAGATTTTTGTTGTTGTTTTTTTTTGGGATAACAATTGTATTTGTATACTGTAAACTTCTCAACCCTAAACATCCTATAGTTGAACTACTAAACTACACTACTCGCCAAAAAGTAGTGAAATTATTATTAATAAATGTCTCTGTTTTAACACACATTGCTTTAATAATTTCTATTTGTCATTTTCTAACAGATCCAAACAGCTCTATTGATGACTTCAATGAATTCTACAATGAGTTCATTGTAGAGTTCAACTACACAGATCTCCAGAACTCGACTGATTATGTCCTGAATGAGAAGACGTTGCTTTGCTCCTTCACTATGGCGGATGCCGTCAACATTGCATTCTGCATCTTCTATGTGCTCATCTTTCTGATGGCTGTTCCTGGGAATCTGATCGTAGGCTGGGTCATCGCCTCCAACAGATACTCGCTTTCCGCCTCGGACGTCTACTTATTCAACCTGATGCTGGCCGACACGTTACTGGCTCTGATTCTGCCATTTTCGGCGGTTTCCATAATCCACGGTTGGGTGTTTGGTGATATTGCATGCAAATTGGTTTACATGGTGAAGGAAGTGAACTTCTACACCAGCATTTTGTTCCTGGTGTGCATCAGCGTGGATCGCTACATGGTTATTGTCAGAGCTATGGAGTCCCAGAAGGCTCAGAGAAGATTGTGCAGCGGAGTCGCCTGCGCATTGGTGTGGGTCTTGGGCTTGGTGCTCTCCTTGCCATCACTCTACAACGAGGCATTTTATGAGCCAGCTTCCAAGCAGACCGTGTGTGCAGAACACTTTGAGACGAATCACGCCGACGAATGGCGACTGGCCACGCGTATCATGAGGCATCTGCTTGGGTTCCTCTTCCCTCTGGTGGTCATGTTGATCTGCTACAGCATCACAGTGGAGCGACTCTTGCGTACGCGCGGTTTCCAGAAACAGAGAGCCATGAAGGTCATCATAGCTGTGGTTGTGGCCTTTCTTCTGTGCTGGACCCCCTTCCATGTTTCCACGATGGCTGACACCCTCCTGAGAGCCAAAGTGGTTGAGTTCAGCTGTTTCACACGGACGAATAATTATGTTTCAGGTTTCTAAAACGTTTATGAGTATAATGTTCTTCAGTGGATTGTTCTTTAAGAATTTACATCAGTCTTCAATTTACTCAAGTTTCTGATGATAGAGCTTGGCATAACTAAAATGTATATTCATTGTAAAAATTCCCAAGACATTTTAAGATTTGATCTACATGAATCTTCCAGGTCTAAAACATAAATATGCTTATTCACGTATATCCATGTTTTCAAAAACTAAGAACCCTGGTTCTTCAAAGGGAAGAAAAAAAAAGGTTTCTGAGGGGGTCAATTGAAATAAAATATTTTACAAAAATAAATATATTGTGTTGTGTCTTATTTTATTATTTTAAGTTGTGTTAAGGAGGCCCCTTTTGAACTCTGCACACAACTTGAAATCATTACTAAATCAACAGCTTTACTCTTATCACAAACCATATCGCCCTCTGTAGGTGGGATATCTTTTTAAACACATAAAAACCAGTCAGACTAGAGTGTGTGTAAATGCAGGTTACTTATCAGTTTTGGTGAATTTATTACAGTTAAATTGAATTTTACGATAAAAACACTACTCCACATAGAGGTCAGAATGTCGCTAGGGTTATATTTTGGTGTTAAATAGCCAAAAATCGCTACAGCAACTGCCCTAATTTGTTAACATCCCAACGAAAAAATTTTTCTCTAAAAAGGCAAGTCACAATGATTTATTCCATTACAAAATTGCAATTTTTGTTAATTCCTACCCTGGCGTGATGTGACCAGCGACGTTCCCGGCGACAAGAAATTTAACTGAATGTGAAACTACAGTTATTGAAATGGGATTTGGATTTTGAGCCAATTGGATTTCATTGTGGGCGGGGCTACCAGAATG